TATGCCATTATCTGTCTTTGCAGCAAGGGCACACTGTTGGTTCATATTCAGCTTATTCTTCTCTGTCAGTAACCGCCCCCCACCCTGATCCTTTTCTGCAGACCAGCTGCTTAGCTAATTGGTCCCTGGCCTGTACTAATGCATGGGGTTGTTCTATCATTGGTGCAGGACTTTGCACTTGTCGTTGTTGATCCTCATGAGATTTCTTTTGGTCCAGTCCTCCAATTTATCAAGATCTCTCTGAATCCTAGCCCTACCCTCCTGCATATCTACCACTCCCCCCCAGCTTGGTGTCATCTATAAACTTGCTGAGGGTGTACTCTATCCTATCTTCTAACTCTTTGATGAAGATATTGAACAAAACCATAAAGGGTAACATGGAGACCCCTTACCCAGGATCAAGAGCTTGACCAAGAGTTCGCCAGGGAACTGGCTGAGGCTGCACGCTCCCAGTGCATGGTTGTCATGGGAGACTTCAACTACCCAGACATCTCATGGGAAGAGCACTTGGCCAAATCCAAATGGTCGCAAAGCTTCCCCACGTGCATGGACGAGCTCTGTCTGACTCAAGAAGTCTATGGACTGACGAGAGGCAAAGCGCTGCTTGATCTGGTACTAGCAATAGGGGATTACTTAATCAGCGACCTAACAATTGAAGAGAAGCTGGGAGACCCCGATCATGAGCTGATCACCTTCACCATCTGCCATAAAGCTGACAAGTCAGTCAGCAATGCAGAAGTCCTCAACTTCAGGAAAGCTGACTTTGATAAGCTTGTTGGCAAGGCCCTAAGGGACCAGGACCCAAAGGGGAGGGGAGTGCAGGAAGAGTGGTTGCTCCTCAAGGGAACGATCCTGGAAGCACAAGCAATGTCTATCCAGTCTCAGAGGAAAGGCAGCAAAGGGCACAGCAGCTCCCTTGTCTCTGCAAGGAACTAGTGGACCTCCTGCATCTAATAAGAAAGACCTATAAAAGATGCAAGACTGGATCCACCTAAAAGGAAGAGTATTCTGCACTGGTCCGGATCTGTAGGGAACGAACCAGGAAAGCCAGGGCTGTGACTGAACTCCAACTGGCTACACGTATAAAAGATAATAAAAAGTCCTTTTTTAGATATGTGGGTTGCTGAAGGAAAAGCAAGGGTAACATTGGACCCCCATTAAACCATATGGGACAACTGACAACCAACACCCAGGAAAAAGCCAACCTGCTTAATGGGTATTATGCATTGTTTTTTAACCAGCCCCAAGGGATGGCCAGGGCGAGGGAGAATTTTTACCCTCCATCAATGTTGACCATGAGAAGGAACACCTTGAGAGGCTGGACACCTTCAAGTCAGCCAGCCCAGACAGTTTACACCCCAGGGTACTTAAGGAGCTGGCACTGGCGCGGATCTTCAAGAACTTGTGGTGCTCAGGCAAAGTGCCTGAAGATTGGAAGAAGGCTAATGTGGTGCCTATCTTCAAGAAGGAGACGAAAGTAGATCTGGAGAACTACAGGCCCATCAGCCTGACCTCTATCCTGGGGAAGACCTTGGAAAAAATTATCAAAGAGATCATTTGTGGCAAATTGGTTGATGGCAACATCCTGAGGGATAGCCAGCATGGGGTTGTTGCAGGTAGGTCTTGCCTGACCAATCTCATCTCCTTCTATGACCAGGTGACATATTACCTGGACAAGGGAGAGGAGATTGATGTCATATATCTTGATTTTAAAAAAGCTTTCGATATGATATCCCATGATCATCTCATAGAAAAACTGGCCAACTGTGGCCTCGCCTACATCACAGTCTGCTGGCTGGAGAATTGGCTCCAAGGTTGGACCCAGAGAGTGGTAGTTCATGGAAGTCAATCATCATGGTGTGCTGTGACCAGTGGGATCCCCCAAGGATCGTCCTTGGGCCTATACTCTTTACCATCTTCATTAACGTGGACATTGGTGTCAGAAGTGGACTGGCCAAGTTCACTGATGAAACCAAACTTTGGGGTAAAGCATCCACATGCGAGGACAGGATGGTTATCCAGGCTGACCTTGACAGGCTCAGAAAGTAGGCGGATGAAAACCTCAGGGTGTTCAAAAATGCAAGGTACTCCACCTTGTGAAGAAAAATCCGCAGCATGCTTATAGGCTTGGCAGTGCTACACTTGCTAGCACCACAGCCAAAAGGGACTTGGAGGTTATGACTGACAACAAGATGAATATGAGCCACCAATGTGATGTTGCAGCTGGCAAAGAGAGCAAAACTCTGGCTTGCATCCATAGATGCTTCTCTAGCAAATCCCAGAATGTCATCCTCCCATTGTACTTGGCCTTGGTGAGGCCACAGCTGAAGGACTGCATCCATTTCTGGGCTCCACAATTCAAAAAGGATGTGGAGAAGCTTGAGAGAGTCCAGAGGAGAGCCACACACATGATCAGAGGGCAGGAGGACAGGCCTTATGATGAGAGCTGAAAGCTATGGGACTCTTCAGCCTGGAAAACAGAAATTTAGGTTAGAGGTTGAGAAAACGTTCTCACTAGGAGGGTAATAAAGCACTGGAACAAGTTACCCAGAGAGACTGTGGAATCTCCATCCTTGGAGTTTTTTTAAAAGCCAGGTAGGCTGGGATGATCTAGTTGAGGAATGATCCAACTTTGAGCAGGGGGTTGGACTAAATGAATTCCTGAGGTCCCTTCCAATCCTAGTTTTCTATGATTCTATTCATAAAAACCTTTTCCCAATGTGTGTTTAACCCACCAAACTGTACATTCAAAAACAAAACCACAGAAAAATGATTAACCTCCCGTAATTTGTTATTAGTAAAAACATACACATTTTGGAATCCTTCTCAGTGCTCATCCGGGAATATTTTATTGTACGTTTATTAAGTTCCCCAAAAAATAAATATTGATTTCTCTCTTTTAAAACTAATAATATGTGGTTGCCTATTCTTGAACCTTTCTGTCAGTAAACCACTTCGGGATTGTGAGGGGGGTGATGACAAAACCACAATGGTGGCTTTAAGCCACTTGAGGATTTCCCTAGGAATGGATCTTCTGGGCCCAGGATCTTGCTCACTGACTATGATTATTATATCATTTTATTTATAAATTGCTTCATATACTATTCTGGTTAAATTAGGTAAATCTGATGAATCATCCTGGTTTGCCCAAGGTCAAAAGCAGTGCCAGAAAACCTCCCCTGCCTT